AGTTGTATGTTTTAAGATGTTGTATGTTGAGTTGTATGTTTTAAGATATATGTTTAAGATGATGACGTTAAATGAAGTTCAAACTGTTAGGCACATGTTTAACCACCTGGGGTAACAGAAAGAAAGACTATTGTTTTAGAAAGCAAATATTTTCTAAATTTTTGAAAATTCCTAATGAACAAAAGCCACATGGTTCATATTTTGGAGTGAGATTAACCGAAGCATTAACTTAACTCAGTTTAATCCAATCCAACCAAACCTAATAATAGTTTTTTTATTTATTAAACCAACTGTTTCAAGTCTCTTCTCAAAGACATAAAACCTGTTTGATTGATTTTAATACAAAGCATAGCGTTATTCGATTCACATTTAGAACTTTCATGTCCTTCCAAATGTTTTGAAAGTTTTAATGACTTCATGAGTCATCCATTTTCAGATCTCGGCTTTAATAACCTAAAGTTAGCCAACTTGAATCTGTGTTTTGATCACAGCAGTCACGTCAGTAAAGAACTGTTGAGTGAAATAGTCTTTTATCCTTTTATGAAGGCAGTTTTTACCTCCCACGTGCTGCTTCTGTCCTCGGCTGTTGAAATGCGAGCAGCAGGGACTGATGTCAGAGCTCGTCTGGGACTGAACGGATACGTCAGGCCTTCCCTGATACAATGGGTGTAAGTGTAGTCACAGTCAAAACCATATGGACAGCAGTGGTAGCCATCCAGACAACACCGCCCCTATAGAGGAAAAAGTATTTAAGACAAAAAACAGTTTTAGTTTTAAAAAATAAAAACAGTTGTAATCAAGAATGTTTTATTTTTACTCACAGGAGAGTAGGGGCAGCAGAACCAGCCGCCTTTTGGATGTCTGCAGCAAGTGGTGCCGTCATAACAATAATAATAACTGTCACAGTGGACAATTGTTGCTTTGTGGTCAGAGAGGTCAGGGCTTTTTAGCCCCTGGAAGGTGGACACGGGCAGATCGGGGGTGCTTGGGGCCTCCGCAGCCTCTTTCTTCACCATGGGCACATTCATCCATGGCTGGTTTTGTTTCACACACAGCTGCAACATCAGGTTACAGGTGAATCCTGGGGGGCAGCAGTTGGTGAGGTCGGAGCAGCACACAGCCTTCAGATGGACAAACACCACTTTTAGAAATCCAAACCGTCATGAAGCGACTTCATTTTTGAGTTAAGCTTACGTTTGGATATGGACAGCACTCGTATCCCTTCTCTGTCTGGCAACACGTGGCCAGATCGGAGCAAGTCGAACCATCAGGGCACTTGATGGAAAACACAACCCCCCACACACACGCGCCAACGTGCAACCACAGAGGGATCCTCAACATCTGGAGGACACAACATGTGTCATTTCCCCCCCGTCGCACACAGCTGCAGGTGTTTTGTACATTTTGTACTTTAAATAAAGTTTTCCTGCCATTCAAAACAATCTCATCCAGAATAAATAACAAGTTGTTGCTCCATGAAATTAATATGCAAAGATTTCAAGAGATTTCTCATTTCTTACCTTCAGACCATGAAGTGATTCAGAGACTTCCTGTCACACGATTCAAACTTCCCCAAACTGAACACACACACACACTCTTTATAGGAGAGGGTAGACACTCCCACTTGACTAAAGTATATCATTACAATAAAAACACCCTTTTTTTGTTTACAATTGCAATAACAAAAGAGGCTTTGGTAATCACAGTGGGTGACCAACCAGCACACAGCCAATCCTAATCTCAATTTAAGCATGACAGATTTTATGAGCTTACATTGACCTTTGATACATCACACGGCTCCGATCACGAGGTCAGCAGGTCAAATTCAAAGATGGTACTGCTAGGATAAAAAGTGCTGAAGCTATTTACTTCATTCTGCAACGAAGTCTTGAAAATAAAGCTGTTGGCTCATCTGGGGAGTGGATTATGCAACGACCCCTTCACATCTACACTTTATAAAGCGCAGCACTCGTGTTGTTGTTACCAATTTTGAATTCTTCAATTCCCAGCATTTTTTAGTTTTCCTGCTCCAACACATCTGATTTTAATAAATGGGTGATAAACCAGGTGCGTTGGAGCAGGAAAACAACTAAAACATGCAGGATGGTGTTCCTCAAGGAACAGGGTTGGGAACCACTGACATTGTACCTACAAGCCAATCTGTCAAAATCTGTGATTTTTCCCCCCCTATTTTTCAAAAAACATTTAGATGCTGGTTATCAGCTGTAGACAATGTTTTTAGGTTTCATACTTCTTTTGCCCTCTGTTTTTTAAACACCTACAGGATGTGCTGCCATACTCAAGTATATAACTGGACCTTCATAAAGCCTGGAAAACTGTTCAATCAAAATCACTTTAAACACTACAAAAAATAAACTAGAAGTAATTAGGGTGGTTTAAAACATTTGCACAATAATACGTCACTTTCAGTTTTGAAGAACTTCATTTAAACTTGCACAATTCAGGGAAATGTTTGTTTTGTAATAAAAGTTGATGAGGTAACCACATTGACCGCTCGATCCTGTGATTGCTTTTTGCACCAACACGCTCTTAAAAAAACAAAAAAGATTTATTCTTTTGGCAAATAAACAGGTTAAAGCAACAGTTTAATAGTGTATTCCTGTATTTTATACATTTACACTGCAACGTTCACATCGTTTAACAAAACACTCGTCCCTTGGATTCATTGTTACGTGTAGCTAACAGCTCCAACTTCAATATGAGGCTGGCGACATCGGGTCAGCGAGTCGACATGCATCACAGGCACTAGTTAGCCTCGTGTAGCAGAGGAGATGTCAGGCAGAGAGATTGGTGGTGGTGGTGGTGGTGGGGGGGGGGGGGGGGTTCAAGGCCAGCATAATGGTGGTAAACATCCAATGGGTGAAGAAAGAAAAAAAACAAAAAACACCTCGGTCTTGTCGTGTAGCTCAAAAACATTTTACAAAAAGCATAAAAAAAGCACAGATGTGCTGTGACCCCTTCAGTTCCACTTCAACCTTTGAACTCCAGTGTTTTGGGTCTGGGGGGGTCTCCAAGTGATGACAGAAGCTGGGGGGGGGAGTGGGGTTTAGCAACGCAAAGGCAAAAACGACACCACTAGTTAATTATCAGGAGAGCTGTAAACTACGGCTGTTAGTCAAGCTCCAAGTCCGACTGACACGCTGCCTTCTTTTTCTTTTTCCTGCCGTGTTTCTTGTGCTTCTTTTTCCTCTTCTTCTTCAACTTGACCTGAGGAAAAACATTCAATGACGTATTTATACATGAAGTAGTCAACTACAGCTAAATTATTACACTGTTTGAGGCTGCAGTTCTCAAAAACGTCCTGCACCACCACCACCACCACCCTCACACAAATCCAGTTGTTTCATTTTTACCAAGAGAAGAAAAACGCTGCTCACTGTGAATTTCTCCTTCTCCTCACTACTTCTCTTTTTCTTCTTTGCTTCGGGCTACAGGAGGAATTAAAATGGAAACGTTACTGTAGAAAGAAGGAAGTTGTGACCCACAACTACCCCAGAAAACATTTGTTGCCAGTAAATTTTCTCTTTCACAACGATGGACTTTTGATTAGTTGAGACTTTATTAGAAACGTTAAACCAAAATTCACATACCGGCTTCACAGATTAAACCGTTTTATTCCCAAGTGTAAAACAGAATAATACAAATTAATGTTCCACTTACACTTGGAGTATCCCGTTTGAACTTACTAGACCAGGTATAATAATGATGAAACAATATTTAACCAAATTACCATCACCTATTGTTGGGGGGATGAAAAATGCAATTAAAGCTTATTAAAACAGAAAATATTTCAAATTATCTATAACTTTTGAAAATAATAAATGATGCAAAACATAAATATTACATTGATGTTACAAAACAAATAAAAAATTTTAAAAATCACAGAAATGTATTTTTTCCTGCCAGATTATTGTAACGTGCCGTACACAACTTTTAAGATATTAAAGGAATTACCAGTAAATACTTAAGGGCCAGATTTTGTCACAAACTCCTAAAAACAACAACAAAATTATGTTGTGTCAACTTGCACCAGTTTATCGCTGGTCAAGGTAAAGAGGGAAATGAAGCCAGACTGGTTAGCTTAGTGGTTGTGTCTCGGGTAACAACCACAGACACATGAAGGTTAAACTGGCTGTAATATTTGTTCTAGTTTCTGCACGTGGATTAGAGCAGGTGCGCAGAAAGTGTTTAAGCAGGTTCACTCAGTGGTTTTGGATGTGCTTTAACAGCTGAAGGGTTCAAATGATAAGCAGGCACTGTGTTGACTCATGATTAACTGAAACATTAAGAGTCCGTTTAATATTCGTCTGATGAAGGCCACGACATCAAAGCAGCATAAAGGTTTAACTTCACATCAGCCAGAGAAAGAACAAACAGATAGAATAAGAAAACAGCGCTGCTGATGTCCAAACATGACTTCCAGGAGTTCACTTCTTTATTTTATGAATCATTACTGACAATTTTACCTCTTCTCCACTCGATTCAACAGACGAATCCGAGGACGAGTCTTTGTGACTTCTCTCAGATTTTCTTTTCCTCCTCCTTTCCTTCTCATTCTGGAAAAAACAAAAGTGACATCATCTTTTAGGGAACTACACTTTGCGTCTACAAACACAAACGTTAAAGCCACAACAGCTGTCAAAATATGTAATTTTTCCATGTTTTGGTTTAAATATTTGTATGCGACTCATTTATGATAAAAATAACCACTAAACATGCATCATGCACTACCAAACGTCCACTCTGTGATTTGTAATAAATTAGCAAATCCAGCAGAGTCGTGTTTTGTTGCCAACAATTTACGAGTCATTCGTTTACATTCTAACAGATGCGTACACTTCAGACAGTGTTGGCACACGATGGATATAGACAATATTGAAAATAGAGAACAACTGAATCAGAGATGCCATGTTGAAAGTCAAAAGGAGACGTTCTTTCTTCTGAAAACAAGGAAGGCCTAAAAGTTTTAAGCAGTAAATGGGGCGGGGGCGAGCGTTAGAAAAGCTGGAGCTAAGATAATGAGCAGTGCAAAGATATTCTGAACTCTTAACGAGAATTTCTGTAACAAATTTTGTTGGAAACAAGTGTACACCAATGTTCTCCATCACAATGTTCTCCATCACAATGTTCTCCATCACTCAGGGATTTAAATAGTGAATGTTTGTAGCATTCTACCACCAGGAACAATGGCGGAGCCAAGGGGTGGCCAATGGTGGCCATGGCCACCACAGAGTAATCTTTGTCCATCCTGATTGTTTGAGGAAACTATACATCTAAGCACTTTTTTCTTTCAAAGTCACACAGCATGTATACATACATGGTAGCAGCCATCTTGGATTTTGACGTGGTAACCCAATTTGTAACAGTGACTTTTCTTATGCCAAGATGCAGCTACAGACCAAAATGGATGTCAGTGCCTCACCTACTTTTCAAGATATTCATGTTCACAGCATGCACGGACAGAGGGCATTGCCAATTCCTCCTCCGCTCTACGACTGGGGACCACAAAGGCGAGGAACATTTGCCACTTTCTTACACAATATTTACACAAACCCTGATAAGTTTACGTCACATTAAGTCTTAACAGTCTCCTGTGAGGCTTTGTTTTCAAATCTAAGTCAATATGGCTGCTGGCAGGTAAAAAGTTAACCCATATATGTTTATATAATGATGAAGAAATAGTGTTAGAAGCAGAAATATTTAAATCAAAAACAGAAAAATGTGTAATTTGACAGCTATAATGGCTTTAATGAGTGAGAATAAATGACCTTGTCTTTATCTCCCTCCTCTTTGATTCGCTTCCTTTTCTTAAAAAGAAAAATAGATTTTCAGAACCTGATCTTCTTGTGGATCAGCTAATAAAAAGAACAAAACAACTCCATAAAAACAGTAAACCTTGCTTTCAGCATCAGATTCTTCCTCGGAGCAGTCCGACGCTCTTCTGGCTGAAGATTTCCTTCTCTTACGCTTCTTCTTTAGGCTCTTCTTTTCATCCTGTGAGGGAAAGTGCAAATTATTATTAAAACTGTCCATCAGGATTCACATGCAGCCAGATTTCAGATATAAAAAAAACTGGATCAGTAAAATAATGTCCTGGAGCTTCATGTTTGAATGACTGCACAGCTTTCATACTGAAAACTGGAGTATGCACAGAAATACTCAGATTAATAAAACCATGCACGTTTCTGCTCACCCTTCCTTATGCATCCCAACTAGGCCTGTCACGATAACAAATGTTGCTGGGCGATTAATTGTCTCAGAAATTATTGCGATAAACAATAATAATGGTTGAAATTTTCAATTAGTAATTACTGTCAAATTTAAGAAAAAAGGTTGGTTAATTTGTTTTGTGTCTAGTACCTTTTTTGACCACCAGATGGCAGTATAAGACTGTTAGAACCGAAGGATGGATAGTGAGGGAGCGAGCAGCGTGACTTTACGAAAAATGGGAGGGAGGCCCCTTGACATGACATGGGCTGTCTCTCTTCGGTTCTCAAAATGGCGGACACTCTTTGTGGTTTGAGCTCTTTAGCATAACATTTCTCACACAAAGCTTTTAATTTTAAAAATTTGTAAAGTTCTCAGCTTCTTTTTGCAGAGAAAAATAACTTTTCACACAAAGGCACGGGTTTTAACCATGAATTTTGGAACTTCAACAAGACTTTTTTTTTTTTTTACTCGAGGTCGGCCTGTTAGCTTAGCTCGTAGCTTAGCTGCTCAGCTTAGCTGCTTTTAACAATCAATGGATTTTAAAGAGAAAAGAGAAAGGGAGGGATCAGTGAGAGCACCGGAGTTGAACCTTTTAACATCCAGTGTCTTCAGAAAGAGAGAGACACGAAGAAACGATAAAGCTGATAAATGAGGTTGATAATTTTCATTTATCATGCGATTAACTGATTTATTGTTTATTGCGACAGGCCTAATCCCAACGTACATGGAATAATGCACAGACACACGTTCCACTTGGACCACCCTGTCCCCTACCATAAACAAATATGCTGATACATTAGCCAGCCAGTATTTGCTCTGGGGTTAGTAATAAAAGAAAAACCAAAGAAGCGACAGAAGTTGGCAGTTCTGTTAACGCAGCAGGACTCGAATTCAAGTATTTGCCCACAATTTGAAAAAGTGCTCAAACATCAAAGCTGGATGACAAGAAGTGAGTCGCTGTGCGTCCATGGAGCGTTTCAGCCATGACATATGGGAGTTTGGGCATCATGGGGCCTATGACACGACTGTTCATGCACAAGGCCGCAGGTTAGCACGCATTAGGGGTGGGTGATATGGCTAAAATATAATATTGTGATATTTCAGAGCATTCTGACGATAACGATAAATTTCGCAATATTTAAAAAAAAAAAAAAAACAGAAATCATAGTTATTTGACAAAATTTACTTAACATGTTGCTTTGCAGTATTATATAAATAAATAAATAAAACGGGGTAATTTTACTGAAATTACTTTATTTAGTAAAGTATTCAGTCTCCAAGTATAAAAATAAAAAATAAAAATGATCCTTCTGTTATTTAGATTGAAAAAGTCTGCACAAAATATAGAACAATAAATCCACCACAAAAACTAAAGTGCAGGTGAAATTTCCCAAATTAACTAAATAAAATAAAGCTTAATATCTGTTAAGCATAAATGTAACAAACAAAATATATGTTGTCTTTAAATGAGCTATAACTTCCAGAACAAGGTGATCATCTGACCCTGAAGCTTGTGGAGTTTCAGCTTCTTCTGTTCCTGCAGGAATGATTCATTTCTCTGATGCTCTCTGATCACATGACTCTGTTCTTGCTCCATGGACTGTGAACTCAAGAGACAGTTTAGCTGCGCATGTTTGTACCGGCAGCTCAGAGCGAGGTGCGGAGACGGAGAAAAAGACGAGTGGCAGCTTCGAGCGGGGGGGAGAGAGAGACACTTGAGTTGTCTGTACCTGCAGTTTAGAGCTGGATGGAGAGACAGCTGAGCCGCACGTTGTTTGTTTTTAGCTTTTTAGCTAGCTAGTATTGCGCGCAGCTAATTAGCGTCACAACAGTACTGACAGGTGGAGGGGCGGTGCGCATTTCGGTGTGGTCGTTCGGTACGCTCGGTTCTGTTATCGGGGCGGGGCGCCCTGACGTATTACGTCATGAAATTAGCATATCATGATATGATTTTTTTGCCCGGGCAAGCTGTTTTACCGGTATTATTGTGAACGATATGATAAGGCCCAGCCCTAGCACGAATGTTTATCTCCTGAGGCTGATGAATGTAGCCGTGTGACAGGACTGGAGTAAAGGTTGTAGATCACGGAGCTTCAACTGCTGGAGACTCGTTACTCAAAATTGTGAAAAAGTTGTTCAGTTAACAGTGACTAATTAAATGTCATGCATAAGTTTTGGTTTCTTATTAGCTAAAGTAGCTTTCTTTTATCCCTGGATTGCCTTTTTTTAAGACAAGCCTGCTTTATACCCCAGAAAAACAATATAAAAAGGATCCTGGGTCAGCTAATATTCTCCCCTGCCCTGGAGGACGACTTCAGGACTTTTCTCTGTTCTCTGATGTCATGACCAATAAGGCATCAGCTATTGATGACTATTTGACAGAACATCACAAGAAAGCACAAATAAACCGAACTAACCCAAACCACAATATTTCTTTATTCCCATCCAATATCCAACCTAGAGCATAATACACCTTTATCACTTTGTTTTAAAAGACAAAGGTTTAAGTTTTAGAACTTTTTAAGTTTCTGATTTACTTGGAGGGAAAAAACAGGATTTATTTGAAAACTTTACTTATTAAAATCCTCAGGATGTGACAGGTTTGATTGTTTGTAACTCAAAATGTCAATAATGCAGCTCAACTTCAAGCCTACGACCTCCAGAGCGACTGTAATGTCTCAGAGATCAGTAGAGGCCAAAACTAAAAAGAAACTGAACAACTCAAGTCAGCTGCGCTGGTTTTGTAAATGAGATTTACTGGAAATGATCTGCAAACCCGACACTGGTGAAGCTTACCTCGTCTTCAGACTCGGAGGAGGAGCTGCTAGAAGAATCAGAACTCGATGAAGAGGAGGAAGATGAAGAATGCTTGACCAAAACACAGTGACAGCAGGGTTCAGTTAGACTTAAGGGAAATTAAATCACTGAAAGCGACAGTCACAGGATCCAATAAGGACGGGCAGCTGCTTAAGTAGTGCACGTGTGTGTGTGTGAGACATGACTCCATCAAATTACTGGAGGTCTTTTCTCACCCTGCTAGACTTCTTCTTCTCCTTCTTCTTTTTCTAAATGAATTTTCAAAAACAAAGCAAAGCTGCAGTTAGAAACTAGATTTCACGGGATGATCATTTGTAAAGAAGACTTGTACCACACCTCTCTTTTGGCTTTCTTCTCTTCTTTGTCCACTGATTTTTTGTCCCTTTCTTTGTCACCGAGCCTTTTTTCTCTGTTTTTAGCTAGCTCTTTCCTCCATTTCTGAAAACAGCAGCAACAACAGGGTAAAATATTTAACTGTCTTATTACATCAGCTCGCCTATCTGGTGGCATCTCTGCATTTGTACGAGAATGAACATTCACTTAGAGAATAACTAGGGATGCACGGTCCACTTTTTTTTTTTTTTTACTTCCGATCTCGATACCTGCATCTGTGTATCGGTCGATACCGATACTATCCCGATATCATAATCATAATTGATTTTATGAGGCTGTAATAATCTCAAGTACAGTTTGTATAAATATATGCATGTATGTCCAAAAAGGCAACTTGAGGTAAGTTTTATTAATGTTGGATGAGTTTCAAAGTTAGGATTAAATCCTGCTAACACTAAACATACTGTTTGTTTTATTCCTAGATTTAAAGTGGATATTAAAGTGATTAAATGGTTTCAAACATCTGCTAAGTTCATGGCATAAACCAACACAGACATGTTCCTGTTTTTAGTATTTTACATCGCTTTATAATGTAGCTGTTTTTGTTTCTTTTTTTATACATATATAATTTTCTTTTATTTTTCAGTTCATACTTTTTTATTTTTTATGATTGTCTGTTCAATTCAGTTTATTTATAAAGCACCAAGTCACAACAGAAGTCGTCTCAGGCCACTGTACAGAAACATTAAAATAAGTTAACAGAAACATTCATATATAAAAATAATAATTTAAGACTTTTAATCTGAGCAGACTGCTTTGAATTTAACTCCATCACAGAACTCTCATCTTGAGCTGGTAAATATCTCCTGGAGGGTAAATGTAAACTAGATCTTGGCTGCAGGTATTCAATCAAGCTGTGAAGCAGACGGTCTGATTTCAGTCAGCCGCGCTCGGTCTGATCCTCCCAGACGGCAGACTGAGCGCAGCTGACTGAACTCAGACTGTCTGCTTCGGACTGAACGAGAGGAACACACCGCTGAAGCCACGGAGCTCGAACATACAACGTAAAACTAACTTTACCGCGGTGCCTGGCTAAACAATCCTCGTGCTCTTTAATGTGGTGCTTTTTCAAATGTTTATTAAGTTTGATGTATTGTAGGTCGTGACCGAGCTTCCTCCTCTCGATACAGCAGCTCTGCAGACGTTGCTGTCTTGCGGTGTTTAGTGTAAAATACTTCCACACAGCGGACATGTTACGCTGAAAAGTCTGTTAGCCGTTAGCAACAGTGCTGCTCAGCCCTCAAAAGAGTATTTACTCACGTTGTAGCTGCTGCAAACTATGAAATGGATTTCCTGAATGTAAGGCGGGTCTTATTACTCTGGGTTCATGAGACACGCCTCCGCTCAGGAAATCCATCCCATAGTTTGAAGCCAACCTGCAGCGCAGGTCAGACACAGACATGCATCATGAATCGGAAAGATCCGATACGTAAATTATGCTGGTATCAGAGGCCGATACTGGATCGGCCCCATCCCTAACAATAACAGTTCCTAACAGACATTATTGACTTTTTGTTGACAAAGATTAGATTTTAGGCAGATTATGGCAATTGTTTATCCATCTAAACTTGTAAATCTATCAACAAAAGAAGGAGCAAATGAAAAAACGTTCAGTTTCTCCAACAGCGCAGTCACAGTACTTTAAGCACCCTTCATCAATTCTTACCTCGTTCATTTTGTCCTCAAAGTCAGCCAGGGCTCGAGAGCCCTTTTTCTTCTTCTCTAGCTGCTCCTTCAGCTCTTCCCTGTGGAAGACACGAGAAATCATTTTATATTCCAGGAGATTAAAATGTCACAGTCGTCCAAAGATTGGGATGAGATACGATTAAATGCAACCTTTTAAAAACATCAATAATTACTAATATATTGTACCAAATAAAACGTATTTCAAACATTTTAATAACAAGTAGATATAATATATTAGATACTAGTGTATAGCCGGTGATGATTTGCTCTTGTGGTCAATACTTGAGTTCACCTCTCTTAACACATTTCATCTACCTGAAATCTGACGTGCACAAACTTCAACCTGAGATAACTTGAGATAAACTAGAACGGAACTAAATAAAATAATTTCGAAACATCTTTCAAACTCAGTACAATCTCTACTGGAAAACAATTTAACCTTTTGATTAACATCTAGAAGCTCTCTGTTTTTTTGCTTTGTGCATTTTAATTACCAGTCGAGCTTTGCCAGACCTCTGGGAAGAACTCATAAATATTGTTGAAGAAATATTGATAATGCTGGTGGTTTAATCTACCCAAGTTATAATTTACAAAAGAAAGCAGTTGTCAAAAAGCTAAGAATTTCCAGATGAATTTAATTTCTGTGTTTTAGCAGCACTTTATCACTGTTATGTTACTGCCCTGAAAAAAACTTTTACATTGTAGCAAAGTGTATTATATAATGTTATATAAGTAATGATAAGAAGTAATTAAGTAATATTACTTTCTATTATTTTTCTCCAAAATATTTGCAGTTGAAACATTGTTTATACAGAATAGGGTTGCTTGAGTTAAACACATTTTGCCTCCTCATAAGATGTTAGTAAGAAGTACTAATACTATTTTATACCACATCTTATTTAGATTTGTGTTTTCATACAACCAAAAAAGACCTTAATGGACATACTCGTCATTAAAAAGCAAGTGAAAAAATAAACAGGGAGCCTGTTCAAGAGAAATATATTTGTCCTATTTTGTTTCCTTTGAGGCAGCACGGTGGTGCAACTGGTAGAGCTGCTGCCTCTCAGCGAGCAGGTTACCCTGGTTCAAATCCCATGCATGTTATTGTCCGTAGGTGTGAGTGAGAGAGTGAATGGTTGTTTGTCTCGCTTGTCTCTATGTGGCCCTGTGATGGACTGGAGACCTGTCCAGGGTGTCCCCCGCCTCTCGCACTATAATAGCTGGACATGGGCACCAATGACCCCCGTGACCCGAAAAGGAAGAAGCGGGTAAAGATAAAGGATGGATGGATGTTTCCTTTAATCAAATTACAGCGACATGTGCCATCATAAAGCGCGTAGCTTTTCTGTGTCCGGCTCACCATGTTGGTCGAGGTCTGCTCAGGTAATCCTGTATGGTTGGTCCTGAGTTCTGGGCAGGTCCTCTGGCCCGAGCAGCTGCTATAGGGTTTATGTATGCCTAAAATGACAAGGATGGGCATGTTTTAAGTGATTTAAATAAATACATGTTGATACATACAGTGCATGGAGATTTCACACAACACTAAAGTCCACATTGCTACAACTAAATTACAACAAAATGTAGAAGAGTTCAAACATGACAACCTGATAAAATAGGGTAACAGCGTATTGATTATTAATTTGTCGTTAAGGAAACGATCAAATCAACTAGTTAAAACACTACAGAACATGAATGGCAGCTGGATTTGTGCGCAGCAGCTGGTTTAGGAACATATGAACGCTGGGGACTCTGCACCTACAGGAAACATTTATCCCAACGCCAACAAAACAAATGCAACTATTGTGAGGGAACATGTACAATATTAGCATGGTTCACCCAGATGGCACGTGCAAACATGCAATTTATTGTGTAAGCTCGCAACATATTAAAGTAATAAATACACCCACTATTTTGTTTAAATATAACGTATAATAATGCACGGTGTGACTTAGCACTAGGCCTCGAAGAATTATAGAAAACACAGGGTGCTAACAAACGCGAGTGCTAAGCTACTTGTGATTTATTCTTGTCAAATTTCAAGGCGGGTTTATTCGTCAGTTTCATTTACACTAATGTGACACACTCACCACTCGATTGTCTCTCTTGCCCATATCGAGTCAATAATTAAGGGAACAAGCATTAGTATTGCCTTGCTAGCACCGAGCTAGCCACTTAGCTGTCAGTCAGACGCTAGCGCTCATACCTTCTTCTACGGTCTGGCCTGCAGCACCCCGTATAGGAAGTTGGGAGACGGTGCACCACCGCCACCTGCTGGCCAGAATATGTACTACAACATGTACACGTCGCTGAAACACATTTTCCTTAAGGTCACTAAAATAAAACAACAAAAAACATACTATGCTTTAGGGTCAAATTTAGATGTTTTTTTTAACTAATCAGTGCTGAGGTTTCCAAGTCTTCACGCGAGTTTGTTCCCTGAAGAAGGGAGCAGTTGAAAGAAGGAAAAAAAAAATACTATGAAACAATAGGTTTGAGGTATTTATCCATTAATCCATCATCTTTAACCGCTTCTTCCTTTTCGGGTCATGGGGGTCACTGGTGCCAATGCCCAGCAGTCACTGTGTGAGAGGCGGGGGACAACACCCTGGACAGGTCTCCAGTCCATCACAAGGACGCTCAGAGACAACCATTCACTCTCATCTAGAGACAATTTAGAGTTACCAGTCAGTCTAACATGCATGTTTTTGGTCCGTGGGAGGAAACTGGAGTACCTGGAGAAAACCCACAAGCATGGAGAGAACATGCAAACTCCACACAGAAACGTCCCAGGCTGGAATTTAAACCGGCAACCTTTTCACTGAGAGGCATCAGCTCTACGAACTGAGTGCTAAAACAAGAGGCCACTTATTATTTATCTGTATTGAATATGCACGTTAGATATCCTAAATGTAATCATCTCGAGCAGAAAATGGTTTCAGAATTGATCATCATTGCACCGAGATACGAGAACATGTACATGCAGTCGTCCGGAAGATGGACGGAGTGCATGAAGCTGCTGCACTGAGCACGGCCTCTTATCCTTTTTCAGAATAATAATCTTAGCTAGGAAAAGGGGGAGAGACATGAGGGTAGATAGTGGTATTATAAAAAAAAGATCTTTCACATCTTGTCCATCAGGACACGATTTGAGACATCAAAAACTCTTCCAGCAGCACAATTAAAACATGATTACATTTGCATTTGACATCGAGGTGTTGAGATTTGTCCCTGAGCTTTTTTTTCAGATCAGCCATTTTCTGAAGATGTTTTCAGCCAGCAGTTCTGATAAGCCTGCACAGAATGTTCTTGGGGGCGGGGGGATAGATGAAGCTTTTGTCCTTGGTTACTCATGTACCATAAGAAATTTGATAGTCGGCCCGTCTCCGAGGCCGTCGGGAGTCAGATTCAGATAAGCTTTGATTCTTGTTCTTCTTCAGGCAGACATTACTTTTTTCTTCAGCCTCGAGTCCATCTGGGCGTTCTGGTTCCGAAATGCCCAATTGAGGGATTCCATTCCACTGATCCATGCCATGAGTCTCCTTCAAGGTCGAACCCACCACGCTGACGAGTCCCAGAAGCCGCAGGTGGTCTGCGATTCTCATAAATCACCTCCACCTTACGGTTTAGCTCGTAAACCAGTTGATTCAGAGTTCCCACAGCGAGGACCAGACCTTCACACTGACTCTGAAGCTTTGCCATGGCCGAAACTGCTGCCGATGTCTTCTTCAAAGGTCGATAAAACAGAGCCCTGGCAATGCCAAAAAGCAGAGTCCCAGCTATCATAAGTCCAAATATGTAAATGTCTTCAACATCCTCCTGAGACAGAACTGAGAGGCACATCAGCTGCCCCCCCCATGAATCCATGACGTACCCCACAGCGTGAGTCTCAGCTGGACACGCAGGTTCCCCAGGACCTTGTCGCTTTGATGAAAAAATATTATCAATAGAGTTGAACGTCCAGGATACCAGATCCACTCTTCTTAATTTACGTTCAGATGTGAACCAGGCACTTCAGACACAGAGAGCAGAGCAGGGAGAAGGAAAAACGGGGGAGGAAAGACAGAAGCAGCCGCCTCAATCAGAGCCAAAAACATTTTGAATACCTCCAAGGGCTTCCCTGAATACTTTTCCTGTCCATGACATGGATTTTCCTATTAGAAATGATAGTTGTTTTTCTTTCAGCTGCTCCCCACAGCGAGCAAACTCACATGAACGATGTGGCAATTGTTTTACGTCAGATGCCTGCAGCACGGAGCACCAAGCCACCGCAGCCCCCTTACAATACTAACAACTTTTAAATACTTCCCTATATTGTTGTCGTCTTACACAATTCACCAGCTTCGTTTAGTGGAAAATGACTACGAAAAGTAAATAAATCATAATTATATTGATACTGAAGAGGTGTCAGGAAAAAAGAAAAGGGAGAGCAAAAAAATTTACATATCCAGCCACAAAAAATATAAAAAGCTTTTTTTTATTCAGCTGGTGCAAGACAATATTATGACACCAATGCATTCGTACATTTAGTACGCCAACTGAACAGACATGCTGGTTTCAAAACATTTAACACTGCTAAAAGTTGAATAGCCATTACGAGACTGAAATGTGTCACAAATAGAAGCTTAACGTGATTCACTGTAATGATCCTAAAGCAGTCGTTGTACTTGTAAACCACTATTTCTAAAGCATTTGTAGTTTCAGTTTGCTTTTTATGCAGCTTCAGAACTGTTAGACAGAAAACGTACACGGTGTTTTGTTGAGCAGATCTGTTGTTTGCCTTGCATGGATTACAAGTTACTGGTTAAAAAAAAAAAAAGTATGAAGGCAGGTATCAAGCAGTACTGACTGAGTACAGTAACTTCAATTTGATAAATAGCAACGACAGTCAATGATCAAAGGAACTATTGTAAGACAGCGTGAAAGAAAACCTGAAGTTGTAACGTGGTCATGAAGTAGCCCGGAGTTGTGCAAACTGTGCCCGAGAGGTTAGAACGTCCTGAATTTAAAAACCTGAGAAAGTTGAAGATTGAGTTGGTGTGTATTGACGTGCGCTAACAGCACTTCTTGTTGAGAAAAAAGATAAACCAGTGTTAAAATGTCTCTGTCCTGCAAGAACTACGACATACAAAAATACAATTCTGCATAACTTGCTTCTCGTCCTCGCAGATATAAAACGGCACATGAACGTACAATAAAGCGAAACCTGGAAACTAAATGTGTGTGCATCTTTTTGTATCAAAACTAGTACAAAATTCATAGCCATGCTCAGTCCACAACCACAGAAATCAAATAATCAACGGCAGAACCCACCTGACTTTGTGAAAAGACAAAATACTCTCATGATACAACATTCCACTGACCTTCTCTACGTTGACATTTCTAAGTGCTGACCATGCACAACCAGTCTATCATTGCAGCTAGCACAATACGCTGTACAGTATCAATTACTAGCCTTTATACATTCCTGTCATACACAACTCTATGCTCATCTACAGAGTCATGTACTTGGTGTAAGAATTTAATATGCCCCAGCATAAAAAAAAGGTAACAAGCATAAGACTTGTCAATAAAATTAAAATTAAATACAGAATAATGGTGTCAACGCTCTGCCAAATTCATTTAATGCTGAACAGTCCTGATGGGACGTTTTCCACCGACTGCAAGCCTGAGCATTACCGTATCATTTGGATTGTAATAAACTGGATTTCAAAACAAAAGCCCAATATGGCAGATTAAGTCATTATACAAAGTCCAAAAATAAGTGGCAGGATTATTCTGAAGTCCTTTCATCATTGTCTCAGCAACTGTAGCGTCCGCCCGTCCTTGAAGAGTGCAGCAACCATTAGAATCCTGCTACTGGCTCGTCTGCAGTTACTCTTTACATCCACGCGGTGGCAGCAGTGTTGTAACTGAATCAGGAAGGATGAGGCGCGTGGCAGTGAGCTAGCTTGTGATTCCTTGTGACGTTGCAGTGACTTTATATATAACACGAGCGTGGTGGCGTCAGTGGCAGCAAACACTAAATGTGTGCCTTTTTGTCCTCAGTTCATCTGTTCCACAGTGACATGAAGGCTGACATGGTCCACGCTGTCCACCCAGGCAGGTCCTCGAGACAGGAAGACTCCAAGTCTAAACGCTGGTCCCAAAGAGGCTGCAGCCCGTCTGTCCGGCCTCTCCACAACAAGTCACTCTGTGATTTAGGCCTTTTGTTTTGCATTGTTACGGTCGAAACATTTCACATCCTAAAAAGCAGCAATTATGATCCCTCGGTTCATGACAGGAGGATCGCCTTCGCTCACGGTTCAAACAAAACATCCACTGTTTTTTCTGAGTATTTTCTGGAGTTTTGTACATGGAGCATAAAACTATATTGGCCTCTTAATTCATCGCATGTTTTGAATTCACCTTCTGCATGTAACAAACAATAATTAAGCTTTTTGACATTAAAAATGATTCTTGTACTTAAAGAACGGCTCGTGTTCGTTCCTCCCTGCTAGTGATGGAAGCTGCACACACATTTGTGTTTACAGTTTAATCTTCCAAGTGACAGGATTTTTTTTTTTTTTTTTATATGCATAAAAACTTGGGACTAAAAAAAGTTAAGTTTACAAAATGTTTCGGTGTTCATCCAAAATGTGATTTTCTTCTTCTTAATGCCAGATACTTCCTGTTTGCACTTCTTACAACTGATGGAGTTTAAATGAACATTGTTCAATTTATTTAAAGTTCAGTCTTTATAAATTAAGAATTTCAAGAAGAAATTTATGCCTTCAAGTAGGTAGCAAACTTGATCCTTTAAAAATATATATTTTTGGCCAAATCACATCCACGTTTCTTTTTCCAAAACGAAGAAAAGCAGCCAAAATGTGCCAAAACGTATTCATGAGGCACAATAAAGACTTCAAAACGTTTTTTAAAGGGTTCAAAGGGATTTGTTTTAACAAACGTCAAAAAGCTTAATCATTGAGTTAAATGTTGTGAAGAAAGAAACGCACATGAAGGCACAGAAAGCACTTTTAGTCGACACTGGAGTATGGAGGAGGACCGTCAGGCTGTCCTCTCCTCTATAGTGGGCTTGTTGTTGGGGAAAGGCTGGGTGACGTACACGCTTCGGCTGTGACTGTCCACGCTTTGGAAGTAGGGGTGACTCAACGCTGCGAAGGCCGATATCCTCCTGGAGGGATTGAAGGCGAGGAATTGCTGTGGAGACGCAGAAGACAAGGAGGGGATGAGACTGAACTGCTCGTTGAGAGAATCGAGCGTCACTCATCTGAAGTGAGTAAAGAACCACTCCACCGACCATCAACAGAGCCCGTCCTTGCTCCTCCATCTCTGGAACCAAGTCTTCAATTGGCTTTGGAGGCCGGGGCGTGAAGGCACTCTGTGGTAAGGCCACTTCCTGGGGCCAGTCTTCAACCGAAGGTACCCCGACGACACTGGAAGAATACAGGCGGTCAGAACAATAATCTACTTTCTGATCGTTAGTGCCGTTAATAATTAGCTGTAAAAAGAAAAGCGCTCATTTTAGATGGCTTGGGATTAACAGCAGAAAAGTAGAGAAGGGCACATCCAGTACTATTCTGGGGGTTATGTAAAAATGTTATGAACAGTTAATATCTTACCTGTTGTAGACAGCTTTTCAGTTGGGAAAAAATCTGTCTGGATTGACAATCTAACCACTAATCCAAGCGGAGTTCAAGGATAAAGTGCCATCTTAAAACAACTAATCACAAATTTTATTTATAGTGACTTAAGTGAAAGTCTTTTTTAAAATAAAAGTTAACATCTATAATTTGCACAACAGTCGTTTACATGGGGTTCTGTGACAGCAGGAGCTAGCTGTAGCACTTCCTGTGCAACCCGGGGGCACTTCCAGCAGAATATTATATTTCTGCCAGAATTACCATGATCTAAAGGTTTATTAAACAGCAATTACATGTTAACGTGATAACAGTTATGAAGTTTCTCAGATCTGAGTCATTGTAGGACGACAGCACTTTGGTTTGATGTTCTTTATTTTCCTTTTAAACATTAAGTATGTGACACTGGAGGAAATGCAGCGATTAATACTTACTCAAAAATCTTTCCCAGCTGATCAACATCAGAGCTCCCTCGAAAAAGAGGCCTGGGCAGGAGAAATTAAAGAAAGTCAGTTTCTTCAACGTTCACGAGGTTTGTTTTTACTGGCTCCCTTCTGATGTGAGTTTAGTGCTCGCTGTGGCACTGCAGGTGAACCCTAATGTATAAGCCTTTAGCTGAGGGCAAATAGGAATGTGTGAGTCTCATGTGAATGTTTGAAGTCCACATGTTGTCTGGATTGTGGAGCAATATTGGTAAAACCTCTGAAGCTGGGAGGGAGGAAACAGGGATGAAAGGAGGGAGGGGAGCGGGAGCAGATCTGCTGGTGGTTCCTGTGGCTTTGGGCAGTCTCTGGATGCCCGTGGGCGGCCACCGCTCACTCTGGCACCCGCACGAATTCCAGCAGTCATCATCAGCGCAGGCCTTCTAGTCACCACAATGAAGAAAGGTCTGTGTGCATCAGCTTCTACTCTCTGATTAGCCTCAGCATTCAGAAAATTGGAAGGGAGGCCACCGAGAGACAATCTGGATTATTCTAATCCAAAAAGATGTATGAAAACGAGAACTTCCTGTTCAAGTTCCTCTGAAAGGAAATGAGGAAGGGGAGCTTTCAAAAGACGAGACTTTCACCTCAGATTTCAAGCCTTATTGGCTAGATATGATTAGATTTATGAGCTGAAGTAAAACATTATGTCAGACTAAGTACATTCACATATGTACGCTTTTTTTGGTCTCCGGGATTTCTGATTATTTAAAGGCACCCTACGAAAATGAAACTGTGAGAAACGAGTGGGCCACCTTGTCCTTCCCACTTGCAGGAAACTTACATAGCTGAACACCCACAGTTTCCTAAACTCAAACTTTAGGATATTATTTATCACACAAGAACACTTTGCACCTTTTGTGTGGAGTGGGAGCACCATTTCTGTCACATGCTGCAGTCACAAGCACAAACAACGCTAGAAAAATGATCATTACAAGCATTTAAACTAAAATGTATTGTTTCTTTGTGCCTTTTTATGAGTGCGGGAGGACCACACCACACCCCACACACACACACACACACACACACACACACACACACACACACACACACACACACACACACACACACACACACACACACACACACACAGCTACCCACGCAC